AGCAGGATAGCAGTAGTTAGGCTAAACAATTTCTTTTTGTTCCAGTTACACAACCCTTCATTCCTTCCTTTTTAATTTTGTAACAGAATATGTTCTGTTATTTGGTGACCAATGACATATATTCCTTTGTTAATGTGATAGTCAGGACCTTGGCTCTCTTATGAGGTTTATCACTACTTACAGAGGATGTATGACCATCAGCCCCGAGATGGGAGAAGCAACTTTCCTTTGGATAACAGGAATCAAACATAGCAAAATCAGAAGACTTCCAAAAGCTAACACAACCAGAAAAATTTCCCTTCACCAATCACCAAAGATCTCTCCAAACCAACTTGTGTCCATGGCATCTGTCCAGGTTTCTGAAGAAGCTGGGTGTATTTCCTCTGCATGCAGGCAGCAGCATGTAAAAGGAAAGCCACACACCCCTTGTTTTCACAAAACTTTCTTTTGTAGTATTATTTTAACCAATCAATTTTCTTTATCTCTCTGTATGTGTGTTTCTCGACTAGGGCTAATGGAGGTTCCTGCACAAGCATATTGTAGAGAAGCAAAACAGCACTATGTTATTCTAAATGCCCTTCATTTGTAATTATTTCTAATACAGCTTGCAGTCTAATAATTCTATTAAGCTTATAAACAGGAGTCCTATAACTATACATTTTAATTTCTGCCCAATTAGTAGGTTCGTCCAGTTGAGGGTGGTATCTGTTAAATTGGTCCATAAGGTAAACAGTTGGGGAATGTTTGCCAGGGGATTTGGGGGTTGGGCTGAGTTGGTGGCAATCCACCAAAAGGATGCTGAGGTGCTCACTTATAAAAGATATTCACACCTAAATCTCCCCAAGGTCTTTACCAAAACCTTCTGTTTTTAAAACAGAGGTTCCCTACTATGGAAGTGGTCAGAGTCCACACACTGGGTCTATTGGTGGCTTTTCAGGTGAGATTTTGACCAGTCAGGACAGTAAAATGTATTTCACATGCTTCCCAAGATCATTGTTCACCGATGTTAGTATTCCCACCCATGTAACAATTAGTCACATTTAGAGATGAAGCAATTCTTTTGGCCAGATCAATAAAAAGTTTCTTTAGTACTGAGGGAATTCCAACTGTGACTTCCAGTTCATCGTAAAAAGAATGAAAAACTCAAAAATGTTTCTGGGACGGTGGTATAATAGTGTCAAACTGAAGCCATATTTGTGTCCGGTTCCATCGATAGCTAGTCCAAATGATGCTAAGAAATCTGCTGGTCTGTTTATCTTGAAGCACACCGGGTTGCAGGAATCAGCATTGTGCTGGGAAGTGCTGACTTCTTTAATCACACTGAATTTCCTTTGATTGTGCCAGGTTATATGTATAAACGTATTTTGCGTGAAATAAGTAGGCCTGTTTCCCCACTTAGTCCATTTAGCTTGATTATAGTCAATAGCTTTGCATGCATCCAAGGAGACTCTGGCACTATCCATAAGTCTCGTGTTATTCTTTCCAAGAAGTAATGTCTGTGCGTCCCTCCATATGTCCAGATTTATACAGTTATTGATAGGGCTTTACTGTATTGACAGGAACATAAGAAATGACCCTATCCCCCACTGTACAAGTGGAATATGTAGTCTTGTTATAAACACAACTTCCTTTTGTTCCTTTCATTATTGGACCCATGGTCTGAAGAAGAAACAGCAGCAACGAAGTTTAAAAAAATGTAGTAATACACAGTCGATAATGATAAATCACCTCTGGGTTTTGTCCTCTGGTGGCCGAATGGTGAAGCTCATGGTGTCCTGTTCTCTTTTCTGAAGAAGTCAAGGAGGGGAAATGAAGTCAAGAAGTCAAGTCAAGCAAGGAAAATGCTTAGGCAAATGGTAAAAACGGTGCATTTTCCATCAGGGCCCAGGAAGAAAGAGACGTTTTTCCCCTGATCAATAATCCTTCTTAGTCTAATTGCTTTTGACAGTGTTACATCTATGTGCACCTTTTCATTTTTAAGAAAGGTTCTGTAGAAAGTTATAGCCTTTTATACAGGGAGCGAAAGGACAGATAAGATATACAATTCAGCCTTCTTTTTACTCAAGAGATTCAAAATACAGAATACAGAGTAACATAGTTGGAAGGGAACTTGCAGGTTTTGTAGTCCAGCCCCCTGCTCAAGCAGAAACCCTGTAACATGACTGACAAATTCCTGCCCAATGTCTTCTTGCAAACGTGCAGTGATAGAGCGCCCAAAACCTCTGGAGACAAGTTGTTCTACTGGTTAATTGTTCTGTCAGGAAATGTCTCCTTAGTTCCAGACTGGATCTCTCTTTAATAAGTTTTGTTCCATTACTTCTTATGCTGCCACTGGTTCTTTGGAGAATAGGTGGACCTCATCTTATCTGCGACAGCCTTTAGATATTGGAAGTCTCCTTTTACATCATCTCTTCGTTGGATTAGACCTACTCAGTTCCTGCAACTGTTCTATTTGTTTTAGTTTCCTATCTCCTAATTGTTTTTGTTGTTCTTCTCTGTACTGCTGTTGAGCCAGATACCATCTCTTCCATACTAGTGCATTTTTTTTCTTGCCTAAGTGTAAAACCTTACTTTTCTCACCATGTAAATTGCATTTTGGATAGGGTCCTGTGTTCAAATCTGTCAAGATCTTTCTGGATCTTTGGTTTATAAGCTGTTGGCTATTCCCTCTAGCTTGGTATTGTCCATAAATTTGAAGAGTTCCCTTCTGTCCCCTCATCTAAATTGTTAATGAAGATGTTGAAGAATACTATGTCTAAGGCAGAACCTTGGGTTACCTCACTGCTTGCTTCCCTCCATATAGATGTAACTGTAATGTACATCTACATTAAAGATGCAATGTACATATAGATGTTGTGATGACTGTCCCGGACGTTTCCCCAGATAGCTGCCCAGATGTCAGCTCGGAGAAGGATGAACCACTTCTGGGCATGTCTAGAAGAGGGTTTGCCAGTGGCTCCGAGCAGTTGTCTGAGTGGGATTTGGCTGGGTTTATCTTAATTGGGAAACTTTCAAGTACCTTGTGGATTCATTGGCCGTTGCTCTAAGGCAGTGGTTCTCAACCTTTTTAATGCCGTGACCCCCCCAACCGGTCATAAGTCGAGGACTACTCAACCGGTGTAAGTCGAGGACTACTCAACTGGTGCAGCACCGTTTGCAGAATGGGACTTTTGGTGGGCTCAGCAGGGCAGAGACAGCCTGGACAATTCCTATTGGCTTTGAAAGCCAATAGAATTAGACTCTATTCAAGAGAGTCTATTCTATTGGCTTTCAAAAGCCAATAGAATAAAAGGGAGTAGCACAGCTAAGGAAAAGGGGGAAAAAATGGTGGACTGCGTTGTTTGCCGACCCCCGTGAAATGGTCGTTCGATCCCAAATGGAGTCCCGACCCACAGGTTGAGAACCACTGCTCTAAGGACTAGCATCTGTCTGCTTTTGGCTGGATCCAATTGGGAGAGTTCTGGGTTTCTAGTGAAGTGAATTGCTGGGGAATATTAATAATCCCACTAAACTACTGTTATATGTGTATGTGTGCGAGCAGGATAGGACACTTTGTACCCAGCCACACATTCACCCTCCCCAGCATGCCTACTCTTCAAAAGGATGGAGCAGTTGCTTGCAGACAAGCCCAGCAAGTAGCCTTGCTTTCCTTGCAGCTGGCCCAGATGCAAGTGGCGGCCCAGGCACATCCCCATAGGAAATGCCTAGTGTCTGTGCCAGACAAATTTGATGGGACTTTGGATCAGTTTCCTGAATTTTGGGGTAATGTCAGCTCTTTACGAGCTTGAGACCGGATGACGTCCAGCCTGCTTTTGGACAACTATGAGTGGTTCTGTACCCTATTGAAAGCTATGTTTGAGGACCCTGTGAAGGCCCAGATGGCGAACAAGTGCTTGCTGAGCTAAAGCAAGGGTGATGGTTGGTCAGAGTATATCAGCGACTTCTGACTGATAAGCCAGGGCCTAAGATGGAAAGAAGAGCCCCTCATCAATCAGTTCCAGAAGGGTCTGTCATTGAAGCTTCTGGATGAGCTGACCTGGATGGATTGTTCCAGCAGGTTACAGGCCCTCATGCACTTCTGTGTGCATATAGACCAGTGGTTCTCAACCTTTTTAATGCTGCGACCCCCAACCGGTCATAAGTCAAGGACTACTCAACCGGTTGTAAGTCGAGGACTACTCAACTGGTGCAGCACCATTTGCAGAATGGGACTTTTGGCGGGCTCAGCAGGGCAGAGACAGCCTGGACAATTCCTATTGGCTTTTGAAAGCCAATAGAATTAGACTCTATTCAAGAGAGTCTATTCTATTGGCTTTCAAAAGCCAATAGACTAAAAGGGAGTAGCACAGCTAAGGAAAAGGGGGAAAAAATGGCGGACTGTGTTGTTTGGTGACCCCCGTGAAATGGTTGTTCGACCCCAAATGGGGTCCCAACCCACAGGTTGAGAACCACTGATATAGACAGATGGCTTCAGCAAACGGAGAATATGGAGAGAGGGCAGAATCACCCCCACCAGTGAAGCCCCCTGAGGAACCATTTCCCCAAGGAATCTATGCAAATGGGGCTCCAACAATGGTTCACCGTCACTGAGAGGGACCACCGGCGTGGGGAGGGACTATGCCTCTACTGTGTGGAGGGGCTGGGCATCTGGCCTCTATGTGCCTGGCTAAGAAAAGTCAGGTGCCGGCAGGAAACTCTAGAGACCCGACCTAGCAGGCTCGTGAGGTTGGGTGACCATATTTATGGGCCCAACACAGCAACCACGAGTCACGCCAAAGCAGCATACGGCTGTAGCAGTGATTCTGGCATGGCCTGATAGGGCAAAGGTGCAAATGCAAACTCTGATGGATTCAGGGGCCACTGTGAACTTTAGGTGTCTAGCGTTTTTCGGAAATGGAAGATCCTACAGCATGAGGTTGCCCCTCCTCTTCTGGTGAAGAGTATAGATGGCTGACCTCTCTGATCAGGACCCGTGACGACAGTCACCATTCCACTCCACCTGCCCATTGTTTTCATTTTTATTAGTAAACTCATATTCCTCAGCCTGCCAATTGGGAGGATCAAACTAAAAAAATGAACCTTTTTCAGTCTAACAGAAAAAAAATATAAATTTAATTAACTTTCTAGAATTAGCATACATTCTCACCCAAGTGTATTTTAGGTTGTTGATCCTCTTAAAGCTCTCTCCATAGTCCATGCATTTATATTGGCTTCTCTCTTGTGTGGATCCTTTTATGGCGAGTAAGGTGATGGCTCTGACTAAAAGACTTTCCACATTCCATGCATTTATGTGGCTTTTCCCCTGTATGGATCCTTTTATGAAGAGTAAGGGCACTGCTCTGACTAAAAGTCTTTCCACACTCTGTGCATTTAAATGGCTTCTCTCCTGTGTGGATCCATTTATGGGCAGTAAGATTGCAGTTTGCACTGAATCCCTTTCCACATTCCATGCATTTAAATGGTTTCTCTCCTGTGTGGATCCTTTTATGGCAAGTAAGACCACTATGGTGGCGGAAGCTCTTTCCACACTCCATGCACTTGTATGGTTTCTCCCCTGTGTGGATCCTTTTATGAGTAGTAAGTTTACTGTGTTGGCTGAAGCCCTTTCCACACTCCACGCATTTGTACGGTTTTTCCCCTGTGTGGGTAAAGTGATGAGAACTAAGTTGTTTCCTATAAGTAAAAGTCTTTCCACATGCCATGCATTTAAATGGCTTCTCCCCTGTGTGGATTCTTTTATGGGATGTAAGGTTACTGAGCACTCTGAAGCCTTTTCCACACTCCATGCATTTAAATGGCTTCTCCCCTGTGTGGATTGTTTTATGGGATGTAAGTTTACTCTCTTTGTCGAAGTTCTTTCCACACTCTATGCATTTATACGGAGCATCACCTGTGTGGATTCTCTTATGTCTCACAAGGGATGAAATTTTTTGGAATCCTGTTCCACACTCCGTGCATTTAAACGGCTTCTCCTCTGTGTGGTTCATTATCTGAGCAGTAAAAGTCTTCTTTTCACAGAAGCTCTTTCCATTCTCCATGCATTTATCTGGATTCTCTCTGATGGGAAGATTTTTACAAGATGTAAGAGACCCAGTTTCCTGAGGAAATGGGAACATCCAATTGTATTTTTTTCCATTGTCTCTGCATATATAATCTTGTCCTTTGGCTTTGGGTGGATAGTGTTCATTTATGTCTAAAGTGTCTTTGGATAGTTTTACACCTTCCCCGATATACTTTTTCTGTATTTTTCTTTGTTGGTCAAGAATCTCCTGCATGTGAACATCGATGGAAAATGAGCTTTCCTTATTCCAATTATTTGATGGGTTTCTCTCCTGCCTTTGGAATTCCATTTGAATTGCAGGTTTCTTCATTGCATCTCCATGTCTTGGAATGTCTTGGAATGATTTGCTTGAGTCTTTATGGTCCTGCCCATTATCACCTTCAAGAGGAAAGAGAAATAAATATGACAGCAAAGTTAAAGAAAAAGATCAATCAGTTGGAAGTCATAATAATTGCCTTCTGAAGCTTTTGAAATTGTAAGATATAGCATGTTTTATTGCTTACAATGGTATAAATGATAATACCCACATTAATGAAGCATAAAAGATTTAAAAATAGCAAACATTATTTTTATTTATAATTTTTCATACATATTCAAATCTTAACAAGAGTCAGCTCTGAGATAGAGAAATCAGAGGAAGCATCCAAGGACTTATTAAGAAAAAAAACTAACATTCATTGGAAGGGTGCCAATTCCAACAGAGACCTGTGAGAACTAAATGAATTTTGAAACTCATCTTTTTCTTCTTACACAAACTATATTCCATTTACATTTTGTTTTTTACTTGTCAAAAATCACATGGTTGAAAAGAAACTAGTGTTCTTCATTTACCCTTAAGCTGTATGTTTGCAATGGAGAAATGGAACCATTTTACCTCTAATTCCAAGGCTCAGAATAGAAATCAAACAGAAGTAGTTAACCCACATACCTGAACGACAAGGCTTCATAGGACTGATATGGAATTCTCTGGGCCAAAAAAGCTAAAATTTGTGATGGAGTTTAGCATTACATCAAGCCAAGGAATTACTTTGTCACTGAGATGTTTAAATGCAAATAGAAAATTCACCAGGTATGAAATGGCACAGGATGCATCTAAACAAAATGCCACTGATCTATTTCCTCCCTCAGAGCAGTAGAACAGCAACTTTCTACCTGTTTCCTCTCAAGAGATGACATCTATTTGAGATTTTTTTAATAAAAAACAGCCAATGGTATCCAATTACAAAATGTCTTCCTCAACTCTCTGATTGGAGAATAGGAAACCCTTACCAAGAGAGGCCACGTTCCTGTAATTTTCCAGCATGACTTCCCAATGCAGCGCTTTTTGGTGAGGATCCAGCACAGACCACTCCTCCTCAGAGAAATACACAGCCACCTCCTCGAAGGAGACAAGGCCCTCCTGACGGGGGAAAAAAAAAAGTACACAAAAGACCTAAGAGGAATTGTAAAAAAAAAAAGGCCGTTGTTTATAAATTCCCCAAGCAAGACTGTGTAAATGGCTCTGCTTGTTAGGATTCTAGGGTTTACATGAAAAAATAGACAGAGCAAAAAACTTTCGACTGAAGCAATACTTTGGGCAGGTGTTATTAATTTGATTCTGTAGGACTTTCAGCGCCATTCAGTTAATATTACAGCAGTTTCCTTCTGGGTCGATTGGACTACCATCCATCTATCCATTCACCCACCCACCCACCCTCCTGCACCATCAAAGATATCTGGAATCAGTTGGTATCTGGGGTTCCAAAACTACACCTATGATATCAGTGATACCAATACTTCCTGCATTTTGGGGGTGGTGGTGGTGTCAGATCCCCAAAGAAATGTATTACTATTATATGCTTTTATGGTCGTTTTGGGGGGCCTGCCATTCTGTTGGGAGGGGAGATTCTGATAAGGGGATATACAATATGCTTTGCTTTACCTGTGCCACATTGCCCTTCCTCCAGGGGAAGGAATGTGCCCGAATACCAATACCCTTATCTAGAAGATGGATTGCGCTTGGAGCCGGAGGCAAACAAAACAGAGAAACCTTGAAGAGGGTGCCAAAGCAACCAGTTACCAAAAAAATATACCACCTGTGGATTGGCCAAGATTCAAACGGACAGTGGAACTATGGGGAGATGTGTAACGAATATTGCTTTTGATATACTGCTTTTGTGGGCTATTTCCTCAGACCTCGCTTTGCTTCCTTGCTATCACTAACTCCCAATAAAAGTTCCTTTTGTGACAATGCCTTTCAAGAGTTCTAGTTTCTTGGGAGACCTAGTTGAGGCAGGTCCTTACAGAGGGATTCTTTGCAGCATTTTAGTAAATGGCTCATGGTATCCCAAGAAGGACCAATCCTGCCCGGAATTTGTTTCTGTTCCTCCTCAGATTGTAAGGAAGTCTGAAAAATCAACTGAATGGAAAATAACAAAGCAGAAGAAATTTCCTGAGGAGAACATTTCTTAGGGGTCTATGAAAATTCACCACAGCCAACTTGCCACAAACAACTTGCTATGGTCAATTTGCCGTGGCCAACTTGCCATAGGACAAATTGCGGCAGGACAAGATTTATACTAATATCGAAGAAACAGTGGAATAGAATCATTAAAGAAAGGATGCCAAAGAAGGGGGGGAAATAAAATGTGAATGACAAAAATTAAAATATTTTTTAAATTATTTTAAATAATTAAATTGAACTGCTCAATTGTCCCGCAGCAAGTTGTCCTATCTCAAGTTGGATGTGGTGAGTTGATCACGGTGAGTTGTCCCATTCCATTTCTTAGCTTTTGCAATACTGGATTGTTTGGCCTCCAAATTCAGGCACAAATCAAGGTTTTAAATTTACTTTGCGAACCAAATATGCCTTGGTTATGTGTGCTTTCAGAACAGTTTTTACTTCAAGAATTTTCTATTAAGTTGCATTGGAGTTTAATAGTCTAATCTTTTAATGTGTCCATTTTCTTTTCTTATTGCAGATTGTAAACAAAGCTTTTTTTAAAAAAAAAATGGTGATTTGCCAGTGTGTATATTTAGTTATTTTAAGCATCCTTGCACAATTGCAAGTCAAAGAATTACAAAAAGAATAGGCATCACGAAGGATTATTTGAAAATTGGGTAGAGTAATTAACATAGTTACAATTATAATAATAATAATAATTGGAACAACTGGCTTTAAAATACTGATCTTAAAATAAAATTTTCTAATTAACAACTTCATTTTGCTCAGGAACACAAAAATAAACCAACCTATACAAGAGGGAAAAGTGAAAGGAGATTGTACTATGTACACCAACTTGACTTTCTGAAGGAAACAGAGAATATAAATCTAGTAAATAAATTTCCTCTTCTTACTTGAACTGGAGTTTCAACCACTGTTTCAGCTTCAACATCAGGGAGGGCCAACTTCCTTCTATTCTTCCCTGTGAGGGAAACAGAATTTTAAACTGCATAATTAATACTGTAGGAGGTGGTGTTCAATAGAAGATGTACAGAAGATGAGATAGATGAGATCACTTTGGGGAATGGTAGAGCTTTGTATTACCTCTGGTCGTGTCTTGATTTGGATCATCCTGAGAGATCATCCTGAAAAACATTTCTGGAGGTGAATTTGATGGATGCCTCTGTCTCTCAGGATCCCTGATCTTTACCACGAAGGACTTGAAATAGCAGGCGGGGGGAAAAAAAGAAGAATAAATGGACAATATTCCTCAAGAAGTGGATTCTTCTTCTATGAACACCACTTTGAAGTCCTAGAACACCAAAAGTTAGGCTGGAAAGTAGGAAAGGAAATAGAACAATGTCCTACAAGAATTATCAGTATCTCCATATAAAATGAATGCCACAGAATTCTGGTAAGCAAGGGTTAAGAATTCAAACACACTGTTTATTAGATTTAATAAATTCTGAGTTCCCAAATGAAAGTCTCTCACCTGCCAGTCAGTCCTCTCCTTCTGCTCCACCACCTGGCTCAGAAGGAAGCCTTCCACCAGAGCCACCGCCTGGGAGCTAGTCTCTGCTCCACACTCCCGTACCCAGCTCTCCATCCGCAGGGGCAGAAGGGCCAGGAACTGCTCCAGAACAACCAGGTCCAGCATTTGCGCTTTTGTGTGCTTTTCTGATCTCAACCATTTATTACAAAAGGAATGGAGTCGGCTGCAAAGTCCTCGGGGACCCTCATCATCCTGGTGTTGGAACTTCCTGAAGTTCCAGGGCTGAACTTCTGAAAGTATGATTTTCTCCTCCGGGATCTTCTGTCCAGTTCTTGCCCAGATCTCCCCATGGCTATCAGGCTGAACAACAGAAGGGTCTTTTCCAATTCCCACATTTGCTAAAGATTGACTTTTCATTCTTTCTGTCCTGCAACTTCAAACGGATCCAGGGAATCTTGTGGATTTCCAAACACCTTTCCAGTCTTGGTACCATTCCTGTAGTTACAGATCAGGCAAGATTTTCAGCCATCTTTGTCCATTTTTTGCCTCCAAGACAGAGCACAAATGGCTTCCAATTTCTGTATATTAGATTAATCGGAAAGGTTTTAACCGCTGAAGAACACCCATTCCAATGTAAAGAAGTATTTTTCTGAGCTAGTACAGGATTACAGTGGCACTGAGCAGGTAGTTTCTATGCATGGATGTTTGTTTGGTACAAACTTTGGGACTAATTTCCATAAACTACTTGGAACACTGCATAAATGTGTTTTGGATCATTTCCAATTTTGTTTTTTTCTCACAAGGTAGGGCTTGCTTTATAAAAACCTAGATCTGCCTTTACCTACAATCAGGATTTACAGAACTTTCCTAACTCTAACAGAACAAACTATGAAAGTTCAATTTAAAAAAAAAATGAAATGCCTAAAATGACCTGCTTTGGATGTTCTATTTCCCTTAGGGTTTCCTTTTTTAAGAGCCGAATCACACAATTACATGCAGGCAGGTTCCCAAAACATAACCTAAATGCAAACAGTCTAAGCAACTGCAGGGGCTGAATTCACATGAAACACAGGGGATGGTGATGTCCTGGTTCACTTAACCCAGGGGTAGGCAACCTTGGCTCTTTTATGACTCGTGGACTTCAACTCCCAGAATTCCTGAGCCAGCTATACTAGCTCAGGAATTCTGGGAGTTGAAGTCCATGAGTCATAAAAGAGCCAAGGTTGCCTATCCCTGACTTAACCTAAGACAAATTGAACTGCTTAGCATCCAACCCCATTTTAGTGTCATCCAGCACATAAGGAGAATCAGGCACAATCTTCTGCAGTTCTTCCCTTGCAGCTATTTTCTTATTTCCTGCATAAGATTTGCCATCCAAGCTCTCCCCATCTCCGACTTCGGAGCTTTCTCCAGGATATGGGGCGGGAAGGATCCCCCCCCCCAGGACCCTTCCTCTTCTCTGAGGATTTGTTCCTGGGGCAACGTGGCTGATCCTGAGCCCTGCTTCCCTTTGCCTGTCGCCTGTGTGGAAAGGGGCGGCAGGGGAACATGGGATCCGGACTCTCCCACTCCCAGGACTCAGAAGATCGAACCTACATGGGGACCTTCCTTCTCTAGCGCCAGCACCCCCTGCCCCTCCTCCTGCACGCGAAGACCCCCCCCCCCGCACCCGCCACTTACCCGCCCACCTCTGGTTCTCTTCCCTTCAAACCACGTAAACCTCCTGCGAAGTTCAAAGGATGAGAAAGAGACAGAATGCTGCGTCCTAGAGAGACAAGACCCAGATGTCACTTCCTTCTCCTATACAGAGGTAGGCAACCTCGGCTCTTTTATGAGTCAGGAATTCTGGGAGTTGAAGTCCATGACGCATAAAAGAGCCGAGGTTGCCTACTCCTGTCCTATGATAAATCACCTCTGGCATTCCCCCGCCAATGACCGAATGGTGAATCGCATGTTGTGTTCTCTGTTTGGAGGGAGCCACCTGATGGATTGTGTGTGCATGGAAGGTTCTGATGCAACTGGGAAAAACGGTGCACTTTCCAGGAGGAAGGAGGCTGTTGTTTCCTGCCTGATCAATAACCCTTCTTCATCCAATCGCTTTTGACAGCATTAGACCCATGTGCACCCTTCCACTTTTAAGGATTCTATAGAAAGCTTCATCCCTTCATAGAGAGGACAAAGGAACAGATAAGAAATATAATTCAGCCTTCTTACTCAAGAGATTCAAAATAGAGAATACAGAGTAACATACATGGAAGGGACCAAGGAGGTCTTATAATCCAAGTGTTGCTCAAGCAGGAAATTTATACCACAACAGACAAATGCCTGTCCAATCTCTTCTTGAAAACCTGCAATGATGAAGCACCCACAACTTCAGGAAGCAAGTTGTTCCACTGGTTAATTGTTCTGTCAGGAAATGTTTCCGAACTGTTGGTGAGACCATTAAAAGTCATTTGCGCTATTTGAAATTGTTTTGCCAGCAGCAAGATCTGACTGAAGGCTGTCAGTAGGCCCAGAGGAAGGGAGAGAGGCTTTTGGAGGAGTTGGAGGTGGCAGCCATGTACTCCAGGGGCAAAAAGGAGTGAGGGTCCTTTAAGAAAAAAGTGGGAGAGACAAGATCAGAAAAAGGAAAGGAGGCGGGGTTGTCATGCAGGAATAAAAGCTAATCCACATGGAGCTCCGTTTCCATCTGTCCTGTTTGCCATCATTCTCTCCCTAAAGTCTAAAATGGACCACGAACAAAGAGTGTATATGAACAAAGAGTGTATATCGGAGGTGGTGACCCTTTGAGAGCTGTATGCAACGAAATTTCTTTTTTATGTACGCTGATTGGTGTACATTCAAAGTGATAATAAAGTTCTATTCTATTCTATTCTATTCTATTCTATTCTATTCTATTCTATTCTATTCTATTCTATCCTATCCTATCCTATCCTATCCTATCCTATCCTATCCTATCCTATCTTATCCTATCCTATTCTATTCTTACCAATCCAGTATAAAGCGGTACTAACATTTCACGTGATCTTGATACTATCCCTTTATTGATGCATCCTAGGACTGCATTGGCTTTTTTGGCAGCTGCATAACACTCCTGGCTCATATTTAAGTAATTGCCCACTAGGACGCCTAGATCCCTCTCACGGTTACTGTTATTGAGCCAAATATCACTGATTCTGTTCTAGTGCATTTGTTTTTTCTTGTCTAAATGTAAAACCTTACTTTTGTCAGCAATACACTGCAATTTGTTGGATAGGGCCGAGTGTTTAGGTCTGTCAAGATCCTTCTGGATCTTGAGCCTATCTTCTAAAGGAGCAGTCCCCAATCGTTCTGGAACCAGTTTTGTGGAAGACAATTTTTCCACAGACTGGGTGGGTGGAGATTGTTTCAGACACAACCTAGATCCCATGCATGCCAAATAAAGCTTTAATAGTTCGCCCACTGCTTGTGCAGCCCAGTTCCCAACAGGCTGTGGATTCGTACCGGTCCATAGCCCAGAGTTTGGAGAACTCTGTTCTAAAATATTGGCCATTCCCCTAGTTTGGTATTGTAGAGCAAATTTGATGAGTTCCCTTTTATCCCCACATCTAAATTAAGTATTTTAACATTTCTTTATTCCACAGGAGGTCAATATATACCTGCAGCAACTAAGCTGTTTGAGGCCAAGCCCTTGGCTCAATTACTATTCCTATAGATTCCTATAGCTCTACGGACAGAAGACAAATTTCAAAATGGGTGAAAACAGTTTACAAGAAATTCTTTCTCCCAAAATTTACCCCCACTTGCTTATTATGTTTTGGTGATGAGCAAGCAAAGTTACACTTAAGTAATGTATGTTTAAAATAGACCACCAAATGGGTAATAATACTCAGCTTCCCATGGCAGACAGCAGGACATACACGGGCACCAGCTACCTATTATACACAGCTTAACATCCCAAATCAGAGAAGGGCTTTTATCTTATGTCCCGTCCCATCCCGTCCCGTCCTCTCCTCTCCTATCTTTTATCTTAGTCCAACATAATGCTCTCCCCTCAGCACTTCTTACTGGAAGATTCAAAAGTATCCCATACTTATTACATGTATGTCCTTGTGATTCCGGACAGATAGAGACAATAATACCCTTCTGCATTACTAGTTTGATACAGAACCTGGAAATGCTCTAATTCAGGGTTGTCAAAGTGGGCCGGATGCATCAAAGCAAAACCACACCCACCCCATTGCCAGCAATGGCAAAAAAGTCGTGATATGTTGCAACATGTCACATGATGTTGTGAGTTTGACACCCCTGCTCTAATTATTCCATTTCTGACTAGCAAAACAGGGTACAATAATGAGCAGTGTAAGCAATTTCTATTTTCTGACATCAGCTGTGAAGTAACATACAAGATTTCCAGATTTTACGTGGAAGCATGCAAAATCAAGCAAAGAAGATTAATCAAGAGCAATTGAATCTACCTGAGTATGCATAACCAGAAATGGCTACGGCTCAGCATTAACCATGTATGGATGTCCATGCCATGCCAGCTATTGAACTATACCCTCCTTGGGATTGACATGGAAGTCAAGGGAAGGGAAGTTAGTAACTGTAAGGGAAGTTAGTAACTCTTAAATCCCTTTTGGATAATTAATTTTCTTGTTTTCTTAGGAAATATACACATTCTACGTGTGTGTATTTATCTGTGTGCATATATGTATAATTGTTGTGTTTTGTACTGCTGTTCTAAGTTGATATTAGCCAGATTACTAATAATTATTAACATTAATCATCAATTGTAAATTTTTTTATGCTCTGCAAGAGTTTTCCTCATTTATCCTGGTTGGGGTTTATATACCACCCCAGGCTTGCATGAGCAGCATACTATAGACCAGTGGTGGTAAACCTATGGCACGGGTGCCAGAAGCGGCACTCAGAGCCCTCTCTATGGGCACGCGTGCCGTCGCCCCAATCCTAGGCCTTCAGCTGGGTTTTATAAAACCTTTTCACTTTAGGTCTCCGCCACCATGTGCAAAAAAAAAAAAAAAAAAAGGTTCAATCAGTCAATTTCAACTTCTCACGGAGAAAAAAAAAGATCTTGCAAAGTTGGAATTGATTGATTGAACTTTTTAGTCCCACCCAGTCTGCCGTTATCACCGCAGCCACGCCCACCCAATTGGCCATGTCCACCCAATTGGCCACATCTAGCCAATGGGCCACACCCACCCGGCACTCGATGATGCATAAGTGGGTTTTGGGTTGCAGTTTGGGCACTCAGTCTCTTAAAGGTTCGCCATCACTGCTATAGACTCTAGCTGACCAGATACTTTGTACAGAACAGAAATATACAAACTCCCTATTTATTGTCTTAGCAGATTTTAACAAAGCCACCTCATTCATGAGTTGCCCAGATATATAAAGCATGTTAGTTGTCTCATTAGAGGCAACATATTGGATTACTGCTGCTCCACATTAAAAGGTGATTACTGCTCTCTCCCTTGTGCAGCTATAGGCAGAAATTCAAAACTGCAAAGCCTATAGTAGGAATAATGAAAAGATGGACAAGCAAGCTACAGGGTTGCTTTGAATGCACAGACTGGAGCATTTCTGAAGCTGCTTCAACAGACTTGGATGAATTTACAAATACTATGACATCATGTATTAGCTTTTGTAAGGACAGGTATGAGCCTACCAAGAGCTTGTGCACATATAACAATAAGCTGCGGCTTATGGCAAAGCTCAAGCAGCTTCTTCATGCCAAAGAGGAGGCCCACAGGAAAGGAGATAGGATCTCGTATAATCAAGCCAGGAACTATTGACAAGGGAGATTAAGATAGCAAAGAGAAGCTACTCTGAAAAGCTGAAAAACAGTTCTCCGCTAACGAACCATCAACTGGCAGACGACCTGAATGTGTCCTACTGTAGGTTTGAGAGGAGGTCATTGTTTTCTACCGTTACCTACTACAACCCAGATACAACAACAGTAGCTAGTTTCCCTACACCTATCTCCATCCTCAGGGCCTCCCACCTCTGGTGATCTCAGAAAAAGATGAGCGAGGTCTATTTCAGACAAAAGACTGGAAAAGTACAGAGTGACTCCCTCTTGCTTGAAAGGTTATGTTGAACAAGTGACCCCCATCTTCACACAGGTTTTTAATAAATCACTGAAGATGTATTATGTCCGTTCTTGCTTTAAACACTCTACCAACATCCTGTTCCTAAGAAATCCTCCATCCAGGTGCTGAATGACTACAGGCCAGTTGCTCTGACCACTGCAGTCATGAAAACTTGAGAGGTCAGTGCTGGCTGAAAGTCATCACAGATCCACTGTTAAGACTCCTTGCAGTTAGTCTATCGAGCAAATAGATTGGCATGGTGTCAATATGACATTGCGTTATATCCTGCAACATCTTAAATCCCCGGGGACCTACGCATGGACTCTTTTTGTGGACTTTTCAGCATTTAATACCATCACTCTAGAAATTCTTCACTCTACACAGATTCAGCTCACTGTACCTGTTCATACTTGTAAGTGAATAATCAGCTTTTTCATAAATAGGTGTAACTTGGGGAAAATTACATCTAGTGCCTGAGCAATTCTCACGGGCGCCCCTCAGGACTGTGTGCTCTCTCCACTGTTCTTCTCCCTCTTTCAGTACCAATGACTGCACCTCAGGGGGAACCCTCTGTTAAAGTTCTGAAATTTGCAGATGATACAATGGTCATTGGTGTCATTTGAGATGGTGACGAGGCTTCGAGTTTCATTAATATTTTGTGATTTAGGTATTTTCTGCATAACCATTATATTTATCCAATATGATTTAGCATGTTC